TGGTGGTGCGGGTGTCACAATATAGACCGTTCCCTTGGGGTAGACCGTGATGTCACGACTCGGGTACGCAACCCTGGTGCGTGGGCATGATTGGTAGTTACAGCAAGTAACATTTGAATAATTGACCAAGGAGGAGTCAGAATTTCCCGTGGCCATTGCTTAGCAGTTGAGTGGAAATAGTGCTCCGCGGGGAGTTACTTATACTTATTTGATAAACTAAATCTATGTGAATTTAAAAGAAAAGTTAGCATTTTCCCTTATGATGAAATACTGCTTCCGCTTGCCATTGTTCTTATTATCTATTGTTATTACTTCAACTGATAGCATTCATGTTATGCTTATTGAATGCTGCTTGTTATTCTGTTACTAGACAGTATTCATTAATTGTGAGTGTTATTATTGGGGTGGGTATTTTCGGGTTGTAGTATCTTATTGAACTTGTCACTCATTGGCATTCTCGTTGCCCTAGTGTTTTATGCTAGATACCAAAGAAATTGAAGGAAACATCGAGGTGTTGGAAGGTAACATTCAGCCTTGGTTAGTTTGAAATGTACCAAAGTTCCATGATCCATTTTTTTGAGTTTTTTAGTTTTCTTTTTTTATATTTGTATTTTTTTTTTTGTACTAAGACTAAGTTGAAAATTTAAGAACTTAAATTTTCTGAGTTGTTAATAAATGAATGTTAGTAATATTGGTGGCAATATTGATTTTAAGTCTAAATCTTATTATGATGTCCTTCAATTTTGGGGCGTCACAACATGGTATCAGAGCTTAGGTCTAGACACCCTTGAGACCTTGGGTAGACTTAAGCACACGTCTCTTGCTACGTTCCAATTAAAAACATTTTATGATCTAAAGCCTTACCAAAAGTATAATAGTGTTGTATTTCCTCTGTAGGATGTCGAGCCCACCACCCAACGATGATTGGCTCTTGGACCCAGAATCTGACCCAGAAGAGGAGCCATTACTAAGGGATCCAGAAATATGGGCGGAGATTTCCGAGTCTGAGCCAGAGGAAGAGGATCCAAACGAAGATATGATTGAAGAGGTGAATGAGAAGGATGGTGTTGAAATAAACTTTGTGGAACCCTTAGCCATCCTCCCCCCTGAAGAATCTGAAGGAGAAGAGAGCGAGATGGAGTCGGACCCCATCTCCACCAAAGAATATGCCTTCGAAAAAGACCAGGTGGACTCGGGAAATGTGGTGCAGGGGGTGGCATTCCCATTTGGACTTAGGGTGTATGTTAGGCTAGAACCAATAATACCTTGCGAGTTGAAGCATCGAAAGGAGGATGACAAATACATGGGACCTGTAAGAGTTGTCCGGGAATTTGCTGGGGCCATGTACGAGGTCGACCCTTTACCACCAGCCTTGGCCGATAATTACACCAACCTCTTCCACCAGCGGGACATTTTCTTAGTAGCCCCACCGGCTGGAAAGATTATAACACTTTGTATTTTTGGGTTTAGAATTGAAGTGAGGTGTAATTGAAAGTTGTAAAGGTTTGGTGGATATGTATGGGTGCTCCCATGCTTTGTTGTGAACTAGGGGTTGTTAAGAATTGGTATGTATAAGGTTGTTGCTATTTTGTTAGAACGGATACAATTTCAGGGATGTCATTTCTTAAGGGGGGAAGATTATAATGATCTGGAATTTTTCCCTCCGCTCGAGCGGGGAAGTTGACGCTCGAGCGGACTTGAGAGGTTCTTAGTATTTTTGCAGACGATCCGAAATTCTGAGAGTTGTGAATTCCCGCTCGAGCGTAGGAGTGGTCGCTCGAGCGGACAACTTTGCTGGTCCATGCGCTCGAGTGTGGAAAGCGACGCTCAAGCATGGAAAGTGAGATTGCCCTTGACATTTTTATTAATGTATTTGGAACCTCCTTATTTTATTTTGGGGCATTGATCGAAGTGGTAGCATGATGGTAAAGTAAGAGTGAACCGAGAATTTAATTCGGATAACTTTTCCTACGAACAGCTGTCACTCTTTTGCCCTTTTATTTTTCCACACTTTGAATTTGGATGTGAGGCTAGAACCATTGGAAATATTATTTCTGAGGCTTCAATTTGGACACAAGAACAACCTAGAATGGAGTCCGGATGAGAGAGTTATGCCTATTTGAAGTTTTGGAATCTGTGCTGGAAGTAAGTCCGCTCAAGCAGAAAAATCGGAGCTCGAGCGAAATGCGCGAATTCAGCAGCTTAAAATGTGATTTTTTAGCTCATTCTTTGCATTTTCCTTTTCCTTCTTCATTCCTCTCACCCTAGGTTCGAAAACCCTAGGTTTTTTACCCCAAATACCCTCCATTCTTCTAAGATTTGGGCAAGATTTCTTACAAGAAAGTGAAGAGGCTTGAAGATCTTACTTTTCTACCAATTGGAATTTGGAATTGTGAAGAAATTTTCTCAAAGCTTTGCTCTTTTGCTCGATTCTTGAGGTAGGGGTCTTAGTTCTTCTTCAATACTTGCATTAATAGATAGATTTGTGGTATATTGATTATACAAATACAAAATCTCCATTGTTGAGCATATAATGCTATATGATGGAATTTGGGAGTTTAAGGTTTGAAACGTTGGGGGTTCAATTGTTGGGTTAATATGGTGAATTATGAACCTTAGGTGTGTAATCAAAGAAAAAATTAGAATTAAAAGTAGTGGTGAGAGAAGTTTTAATTTTTCTTGAAAGTCTTGATTTTTCTTAAAAATACTAGGTTGATTCATGATGATAATTAATGATTTTGCCCAAATTGAAAGTAGAATTATGAAATTGAAAGGTTGAATTGTATATATACAAGTTTAATTGGATTTTGGATGTGTTTGAAAATTATGTTAAAAATTAGCGATTGAACCTTTGCTATGGATATTGTAAATTATGCTATAATGTGAAATGAAGATTTGGGAAATGATTTATTGATGATATGGATGACATGAGCCTTGGGTTGAAATGATGAAATAAAGGTTTAAGAGTTCACCTTGAATTATGTTGAATAGTGTTGATTATGTTGAATAGTGTTGACCATGTCGAATTGTGTTGATTATGTTGAGTTGTGTTAAATAATGTTGAATCGAATTGTGTTGGACTATGATGAATTAAGTTTGAATTATGTTGAATTGTGTTGAGTTGAGTTGTGTTGGGTGTGTTGAGTTTGAGTTGTGTTGTGTTGGGTCATGTTGAGTTTGAGATGAGTTGTGTTGGGTGGTGTTGTGTTGGTACCCACAGGGGCAGTTGAAAGATGATACGAAATTTGTGATAAGATGATGAAGTGAAGATTTAAGAATTTTATTGTGTAATTAGAAAGTGATTTTATACCTCAAAACTAAAAGCCCAATTTTATATTTAACTCTAGTTATGAAGTTTTATTTTGAAAAATGAGGATACTTCAATCAACATTAAATTTATGAAATTAAGTCTATGTTGGGTTAAGATGAGTGTGAATAATGATAAATGGGAGATTGTGAAATATGACGATGTTTTATGAATGAGTTGTATCAAAGAAATTAAATGTTGGATATTTAATTTATAACTGTGGATAGTAATTGATAACCAATGTGTTTTAAAAATTGAATTTGAAGACTTGATAATAATATGGAAAAGTAAAGAAATGGTTTGAACCCAAGAATTGTGAACACTTTAGAGATGAATCTTTACCTCTTTGGATGTGTTGTTATATTTTTGTGTGACAAAACAATGAATGATTTAATGGATAATGAAGAAGGTCGCGGAATATATTTGTACTTGTTATGTGAATGAAAATTTAATATATGGTGGATGTACATTGAATTAATGTGTTACGGAAATAATGGAAGATGTGTTGGCTTGCCACTAATTGTAATGATGGATTGTGATATTATCTTGGGGTCCATTTCCCACCGTATTTTGAGCCAGCAAAGCGTGGGCGCTTGAGATAGGTTCCACCTTCCTTCCGGAGTAGTGCCCGGTAAAGGGTGTGGTATGTTGAGGTTCCGCGTTTCTTCCGACTTGTGACCGGTAAAGCGTGAGGTTCCCCCTTACTTCTAGCTTGTGACCAGTAAAGCGTGTGACTCATGGAGATGACTTGTTATTGGATCCGGTGTTTGATATGGAATTAATTGAAAGAATGGAAAATGAAATGGTAATTGGATTAGGGATTGGTGTTGATACACTCAATGGATTTCTTGTGATTATAATGGAAGATTATGGGTTTTGTTTTGTAAATAATAGAGAAATTGAATTAAAAATGGATTGTTATTCTTGTGTTATGCTTGTATTGTATTTGGTAATGCAAACGTTAATGTGAGGTAATTATTGGGCAAGTTGGAGTTGAGTGTATGAGGATTGTCTCTTTTTGAACACAAAGGAAATTGGATCTTGACATTATGGAGTTATAGTGATTGGAAATAGTATAAGGGAAAAATAGAAATGAAATGGGGAATATTTTGGGAGTTGGTTAATAAATTTTTAAATGATGTTGTTTCTTAAACATGTTTATTTCACAAGGATCTATGATTTTCTAAAGTTAAGGGATGATTTTTAATGGCTAGAGGTTTTTCTTAAAAGCGTTTAAATAGTTTTGAGAAAAAGATACTTTACTTATGATATTTTGAAATTAGAAGATGTCACCCTACTAGATGGTATCACCCTGCATGCATGATCATTTCTATCTTTATGTTAGTTATTGATTTAGAACTATGAGATTCCTACTGGGCATTAGTGCTCACCCCTTGTTGTTTTATCTTTTTATAAGAAGAAAGTTTGGATTCTTTGACTGAAGAGTTAAGAAGTCCATGTGTCTTTTATATGTAATTTCATTGTAGATGTGATGGATCATGTATTTGTATTTTATTCATTTGTAGCTTCAAAGTAGGAGATTGGCATGCATTGTTATCATTGTAATGTTCATTAAGAGAGAGAAAACATGTATCATTATATTTCTATTACTCAAGAGTAATGGATGTTTAAAAAAAAAAATAGACCTAATTTTAAGGCTTTGGTAATGTTTCTGAGTAATTAAAATTGGGGCATGGCAAAGATCATTCCTACGGATGGGACGGTGGACTTCCGTGACCCACTCACTTACGAAGAGGTCCCTGTGAGGATTCTGAGCCAGTATGTGGGATTGGAAGGACCTAGGTTGTTAGTCCGTTGGAGATGCTACGGACTTTACGATGAGAGCTAGGAGTATGCCTGGCAGGTGCATCAACACTATCCGTGGCTCTTCAATTAAGAGGACTGAAGAGGGGTAGGCTAGGTCGCTTAACAATTTTGTTGCGACTTCATTGTAAAGACCTAGTCTTACAAATATTAGTAATGGGGTAAGAGAATGCCCTCGATTATGTAGCAAAATGAATTTTTTTTCTTCTTTCTTTTATGAATGTACTGATCTTTTATTTTCCCTAATGAAATCCTAGTATTTAAAAGTGTGTGCGTTAGACTATTTTACTTGCATTTTATCTTTAAATATATATATACATATATATATATGTATAAGAATAAATAAATGGTGTAACAATAATATCCTTTCTATAGAAAATAGCAGGAAGAACTAGGGCAAATAGATCTAGTGACAACAGTAACAACGACAACAATAACAATAACAGTGACATCATGAATTTCGTTCGGGCAATTACTAATGAACTAAGAAACCAACCCAGGCGTGAAAACAACAAAGCAGAATTAATAGCGAAATTTCAAAAACTCAGGCCCCAAAAATTTTCTGGAGAACCCAATCCCTACGTGGCTGAGGCATGGATAAGGCAAGTGAAGAAAATATTGGAGACACTAGAGATACAGAACGAGCAGGACCAAGTGTCCCTCGCTTCATTTCTCTTCGATGGAGAGGCTGATTTCTGGTGGACAATGATTAAGGAAAGCCGTCAAGTGGCAGAACTATCTTGGAGACAGTTCGAGGAGTTGTTTATGGAAAAGTACTTCCTAAACTCAGTGAGGCAAAAAATGATCCAAGAATTTCTCCAACTGAAACAAGGGGGCATGACTGTGACACAGTATGCCAATCGGTTTGAGGCCCTTTCTCGCCATGCCACAACTATAGTGGCAAATGGAACAGACAAAGTAAGGTGGTTTGAGTGGGACTTGATTCGGGAATCTGAGACAAGTTGGTTGCAGTGCAGCTACCTACCTATGCACAGGTAGTAGATAGGGCTCTTACTCTAGAAAGAAAGAAGATGGACACTGCAAGGACCCAAGGTTAGCAGTCTAGAGCCAACCAGCAAAGAAGCGGAGGACCCTCAAGGAACAATAGGACCCCTGCCGCTTCAGTACCTTATGCTATGGGGCCACAACAACAGCAAGGGTACAATCTTGAGCAGTGTAATAGGGAAGGGACTAGAAGGTGCTATGAGTGTGGCCAAGAAGGGCACTTTAGGAACAACTATCCTCAAAGGTTAAGCTACTACATCAATCAAGGAGGAGCCACTCAAATAAACAAATGTGCGCCAACTCAAGGAACACGAGTTGTGCAAAATTCTCAATTCGGCAGAGGTCAACTGCCAGCTAATCGGAATGTGAGACAATCAAGGACTCAACAACCAGGAGATGCCAATGTAAGGAAACCTTGGGTGGACTAGAAGGTGCTATGAGTGTGGCCAAGAAGGGCACTTTAGGAACAACTATCCTCAAAGGTTAAGCTACTACATCAATCAAGGAGGAGCCACTCAAATAAACAAATGTGCGCCAACTCAAGGAACACGAGTTGTGCAAAATTCTCAATTCGGCAGAGGTCAACCGCCAGCTAATCGGAATGTGGGACAATCAAGGACTCAACAACCAGGAGATGCCAATGCAAGGAAACCTTGGGTGCCAAATCAGGGTGCCATTGGGAGAGTCTTTGCACTCCAAGAAGGAGAAGACAATGGAAATCCTTTAGTGATTTAAGGTATACTCATCCTTATGAACTCTTGTGTACAAGTCTTGTTTGATTCTGGAGCATCACACTCTCTCATATCTGCTTCATGTGTGTAACTTTGGGATTAGAGCCTGAACGATTAGAAACACCTATGAGTGTAGCTTCACCACTAGGAGGTCAAGTTCGAGTAGACCTCGTATGCAAATCATGTGAGCTAAAAGTCTCTAGTTTACGTTTAACTTGCGACTTACGAGTCATGAAAATGTCAGACTTTAACGTTATTCTAGGAATGGACTGGTTATCAGCCTATAAAGCCACCATTGATTGCTATCAAAAGACGGTGACTCTTACTCTCAGGACGGAACGCGATTCCAATTTGAGGGGGATAGACAAAATTCCTTATCATCGACACTTCAAAAATCAAAGTGGCACGATCACCTGGCTGGGTGACTAGCTGGCATAATTCTGGAAGATAGAGATCATATAGAACTAGGGCTACCTCGTGTGGTGTGCGAGTATGCTAATGTATTCCCAAAGGAATTACCAAGACTACCCCCAAGGTGAGAAATAGACTTTACCATTGAACTACAACCTGGTACATCACCGATCTCAATGGCACCACATCGTATGGCACCAGCTGAATTGAGAGAGCTTAAGACACAGTTGCAAGAACTATTAGACAAGGAATTTATAAGGCCAAACACGTCCCCGTGGGGAGCACCAGCCCTATTTGCTAAAAGGAAAGATGGGACACTTAGGTTGTGCATTGATTACTGACAACTCAACAGAGTCACCATTAAGAATTGGTATCCACTACCTAGGATTGATGACCTTTCGATCAACTTAAAGGGCCAAAGTATTTCTCAAAGATAGACCTCAGGTCTGGGTATCACCAGTTGCGTATTCGGGAAGAAGATATTCTTAAGACTGTGTTTCAAACCCGTTACGGCCACTATGAATTCGTAGTGATGCCATTCGGCCTAACCAATGCACCAGGCGTATTCATGAGCTTAATGAATAAAATATTCATGCCTTACTTAGATCAATTTGTGGTAGTTTTCATAGATGATATTTTGGTGTATTCCAAGTCCGAAGGAGACCACGAACAACACTTGAGAATAGTACTTCAAACTTTGAGAGAGAACCAACTATATGCTAAGGCTAGTAAATGTGAGTTCCGGATAAATGAAGTAAAGTTTTTGGGTCACGTGGTGTTTGAAAAGGGAATATCAGTAGACCCAACTAAAGTAGAAGCAGTGACAGAATTGAAGCAACCTAAGAACACATTTGCGATTCGTAGTTTCTTAGGATTGGCCGGTTGCTATCTAAGATTCATTCAAGACTTCTTAAAATTGGCCAAACCAATGACACAATTGACTCAAAAAGGGGTAAAATTTGAATGGAATGAATCTTGTGAAAATTTATTCCAAGAACTCAAGAAAAGATTGACGAGTGCCCCTATTCTCATAGTACCAGAATGTGACATTGGGTACAATATGTATTGTGATGCTTCCAAAGAAGGTCTGGGGTGCGTATTGATGAAAAATGACAAGGTGGTGGTATATGGATCAAGACAAATAAAGAACCATGAGAAGAATTATCCTACTCATGACTTGGAGTTAGTAGCTATAGTTCACGCACTCAAAATTTGGAAACACTACTTGTATGGTGAAAAGTTTGAGATATTCACCGATCACAAAAGCTTGAAATATTTGTTCACCCAAAGGGACCTAAACATGCGTCAAAGACGTTGGATGAAGTATCTAGAGGATTATGAATTTACCCTTTCCTATCATCTCGGCAAGGCTAACGTGGTGGCAGATGCGCTAAGTCACAAGAATAGAGGGATTGTTGCTAGTTTAGCACTTAGGGAATGGAGTATGGTTGGAACGCTCAATGAATTTGGAGTACAATTGGAGGTTCGAGATGAAAAGGCTTACATTGGTGCTTAGATTGCTACGCCTAAAATTTTGAGCGAGATATTAGAATCACAAAAGTACAATCAGGAGGTAGCATTCATCAAGGCACAAATGGAGTCTAATGAAACTATACCTGGTTGGGAAATTCACACAGATGGGAGTTTGAGATATCAAGGTCAAATGCTCGTGCCAAGTGACGACTTACTAAGGGAAAAGGTACTTAAGGAATTCCACCATTCAGTATTCGCAGTACATCCATTAGGTACTAAGATGTACCAAGACTTAAAACGCCAATATTGGTGGGGCAAAATGAAAAGGGACATAGTAGAGTTTGTGTCTCAGTGCCTGACATGTCAACAAGTAAAGGCTGAACACCAAAGACCGGCAAGGACACTTCAACCCCTACCAATCCTGGAGTGGAAATAGGAACACATAACCATGGATTTCGTAACGAGTTTGCCTCGATCACCACAGGAACATGATAGCGTGTGCGTAGTGGTGAATCGACTAACTAAGACAGCCCGATTCTTACCTGTCGGGTCGTCAGATACTTTAGATTCACTTAGTAGATTGTTCATCAAAGAAGTGATCAGATTACACGGAGTACCAATTAGCATCGTGTTTGATCGTGATCCTAGATTCACTTCACAATTTTTGCAGAGCTTGCAAAAAGCGATGGGAACGAACCTATGCTTTAGCATGGCATTTCATCCACAAACAAATGGGCAGTCTAAAAGGACAATACAAACCTTAAGAGGATATGCTTCAAGCATGCGTTATGGATTTTAAGGGAAGTTGGGAGAAACACCAACCTCTTGTTGAGTTCGCTTACAACAATAGTTTCTAGGCCAGTATTGGAATGGTACCATATGAAGCACTTTATTGACGACCTTGTCGGTCACCAGTCTATTGGACTGAAATAGGGGAAGCAACCTTGTTAGGACCAGACTTGGTTCAGGAGACTACTATGAAGATAAAACTGATCAAACAACGGCTAACCACAACCCAAAGTCGACAAAAAATCTATGCGGATCAAAGGAGACGACCCTTAACGTTTGGGGTAGGGGATCATGTTTTTCTCAAAGTTCGATCTCGTCGAGGTGCTACACGATTTGGGAAGAAAGGAAAACTTGCACCTCGTTATGTGGGGCCCTTTGAAATTCTGAGCAAGGTAGAAGAGGTAGCATACTGCTTAGCACTACCGCCACAGCTTGCAGCGGTGCACAATGTTTTTCATATCTCAATGTTACAAAAATATGAGCCACACCCTTCTCATGTTATGAACTGGGGAGAGATTGATCTCAATGAAGATGTAAGCTTTGAGGAATGGCCTATAAAGATTATGGATCAACGAGAAAAGAACCTACGAGGCAAAGTCATCCATTTGGTGTGAGTGTGGCAGCATCGAGGAGTGGAGGAGTCTACTTGGGAAAGAGAGGATGCAATACGAGCCAACTACCCTCAGTTGTTTGAAGATAAAGGTACGCATTAAACTTTCGAGGACGAAATTATTTGAGGGGGATAGGTTGTAAGAACCGAAATTTTTAGACAACTAATTAGTTTGTTAATAATAATATTAAGTCAATCAATAGTGATTATTAAACTATTAAATTGTAATGTTAATAGCACCATAATTAATACCAATATTAAATTCTTTTAAATAAAATTATTTATCTTGTTGTGATTAAATTTTTGTATCTAAATACAGTTGTGGAAACGAAATGAGTTAAATAAATAGTAATTGAATTAATCAGAGGATAGTAGAGAGCAAAATATCTAGTGACTAGGTTGTATATATTTATTGATTTTATTCTTTACACACACACGTAGACTAGCAAAAAAAAAAAAAAAAATAGGGGAGGAGGCCGGCCATGAGTCAACCCTCATGAGGAAGGATAAATTTTGTCTTATATGGAGATGCCCCCTCAAAAGTGTAGCCACTTTTGCATGTGCAATCAGAATTTTTCTCACCTTTGAGTGTAAGGGGTGGGTTATCATAAGTGTGCCATATGGGATAGGCAGCCCACCAATGACCATGCATGCACCCTTTCTCTCACCAATCCCTTGTCCAAGTTTCCCTCCCATTTTAGTCTATATAAGAAACACAAAATCCTCCAGCACAGAACTTGCAAATTTCGGCTGGAACAAGAGAGAAAGAGAGGGAAAGAAAGAAAAGGGAAATGAGAGAAGAAGGGCTCAACACTTGAGATTTTTTTAAAAAACTTCAGTGAAGTAAAAATACTCAACCTCTATCCTCCCTTAGATTTTTTTTACTAAATCTATATATCAAAAATATGCAAGAGTATGCATTGTTAACATCCAATAACTTAATGCATGTTGATAGAATGACGATCTTATGATTATATGAT